ATCCGAGGTGCCCAGCTGAAAAGTGAAACCCTGAGACTTGGCTACTGTTCTGTTTGGTGCTGAGATGGAGTCGGAGCACATCCCCTCCCCAGATGGCCCTAGATCCTCCTGCTAAGTCAGGGTCAACTCTGAGGAAAGGGGCGATCAGACCCATCGAGGTTTGTCTCAGCCCCTCTTCATCTGTAGCGTGGGGCTAGAGGAAGTTAAAACCAGCCCCCAGCTCCCAAAGCCTGTCATTTCTGGAATTTTATAGTTGCTACAAAGCTGCCAGTTTTCAGAGGCATTAAGGGGAGTCCAGGAGGCTCCGGGCCTGTCTTGGCAAACTCAGTTGCGTTTTCAAGGTCACGGCCCTGAAGGGCCCGTCTCCCTGAAACAGAGCGTTGGGCTCCTTTTCAAAGCGTCTCCCGTGGCACTCTGTCTCCTCGCCCCCTTTCTTCTTGGGGAAGTAGGACAATAAGAGCTTTTGTCCAAGGGCATTGTGGTCCAGGCCTTGGTGAAAGACAACACCCAGCTCCGCCTGGGCGGGCTGAGGAGGGAGAAACAGGATCGGGAGAGAAAGGCTGTCCGGGAGGAAGACACAGCGCTGTGAACACACCCGTTTTCCTCCAAGTGAGTTTTGAGTGGTCCATTCAGAAGCCCACCGGGATGTATTTTTTAATAGGCTACGTTGAGAAAAAAGAAAAGTCACGCCGGCTTTGTAAAGAAACGACAAAAAAGGGTGGTCGTTTGCGAGCCCTGCTTGTTCTGCAGGAAGTGGTGTTGGCTCAGGACTAGATCGGTAGGACAGAGAGTGTCCAGAAACAGACGCCTGTGCAGCTGGAAGAAGACACAGGTGATCAAGTCAGTGGCCAAAGGGTTCACTAGTCAGGGAAACGTGTTGGGATGGTTGGCTACCGATTTGCATATCATATGTGAAAAAAAGCAAAGCACAAAGCTATCACCCTGGCTGATAGCCGGCGCTCAGTGGTTAGAGCGCCGGCCCTCAAATCGAAGGGTGGAGGGTTCATTCTGGTCAAGGGCATGTACCTGAGTTGCAGGTTCCCCGCCCCAGTTGGGGTACGTGCAGGAGGCAACCAATTGATGTGGCTCTCTCACATGGAGGTTTCTCTCTCTCCTCTCTCCCTCCCACTCTCTCTAAAATCAATGGAAAAAAATATCCTCCAGTGAGGATTAAAAAAAAAAAATCAAAGCTGTAAAAGAATTTGGAAGAGGAAAACAGGAGACTCTTTATTCCTTTGGGGTAGAGATGATTCTGCTACAAAAGACACATAAAAGAAAAGACTGATAAACTTGAGATTACCTTGAACTCCTTCCCCTTAAGTACAGTACCTTATTGGGTCCTTAAACTCTAGAAGAATGGTATGACTACTATAACCATTTTATACACGGGGCACTAGGGCCTAGGGTCATTTGCATGAGGTCTGTTAAAAAATAAACAGAGGCCTCATAAAAATGCTAAGTTTACTTGAGCAAACGTCCATTTGAATTGGGAAGCATCCAGTCTGGCAGATAGAAAGGAGCTTCAAGGAGCCGCACAAGAGGAAAGACGGTTACAGGCGGAAGGGAGCAGGAATGAGGAAGTTGTAACAGGCAAAACAAAATGGGGTGATTCTTGCCATTTACTTTCTCCGGGGGGACGGCAGGGATCACTCAGGCAGATTACCTAACCAGTGGGGTCAGGTGGCTCCTGACGGACCGGTTGAAGCTCATTCAGCCTTTGAATGAGTGATCTTTTCCGTCTTTCCGGGGGATTCTGAGCAGGCAAGGAGACACGCATCTCCACCAAGTCTGCCATCTCAATGTGGCCCTCCAACCTGCCTCATCGCAAGAGTATTTATGGATGCTGGACACCGAGGATAGCTGAAAAAAAAATGGTCTCTGGCCCAGCCGGTGTGGCTCAGTGATTGAGCATTCACCCCTGAACCAGGAGGTCATGGTTGGATTCCTGATCAGAGCACATGCCTGGTTTCAGGCTCCATCCCCAGTAGGGAGCCTCAGGAAGCAGCTGATCAATGATTCTCTCTCATCATTGATGTTTCTATCTCTCTCTCCCTCTCTCTGAAATCAATTTTTAAAAAAGAAAAGAAAAGGTCTCTGTCCTTCACGGAGCTCATGGACTTGTGGGAGGGTGAAACCACCACAGAACAACCAGAGTGACATGCTTGATACTTTAGTGCTGGAAGACTTATAGACCATGGCTCACAGGCTCCCTGTTTTAGAGATGGGGGACTGAGGCCCAGGGATGGAGGGGGACACATAAAAGCTCTGGTAGCTTTAAGAAGGAAGAAACCCTACCAGATTGGGGGATCAGGAGGAGGCACATAAAATGGGCTTGGGGCCCTGGCCAGTGTGGCAAAGTGGTAGAGTGTCGCCCATGGACCAAAGGGTTGCGTAACGGGTCCAATTCCCAGTCAAGGGCAGGTACCTGGGTTGCAGGTGTGTTCCCCTGCTCCAGTCAGGGCACTTGTGGGAAGCAACCAATCGATTTCTCTCTCACATTGATGTTTCTCTCCCCCTCCCCCTCCCCTTCCCTCTCCTTCCCTCCCCTAACCCCTTCTTCCCTCCCCTTTCTCTAAAGCAGCGGTTCTCAACTTGTGGGTCGAGACCCCTTCACAGGGGTCGCCTAAGACCATCGGAAAACACATATATAATTACATATTGTTTTGTGAGTAATCACTATGCTTTAATTATGTTCAATTTTGTAACAATGAAATTGGGGGTCACCACAACTTGAGGAACTGTATTAAAGGGTCGTGGTATTAGGAAGGTTGAGAATACAGTCTAAAGGGATATTTATTTTATTTTTTTTAAATATATTTTTATTGATTCTAGAGAGGAAGGAAGAGGGAAAGAGAGATAGAAACATCAACAATGAGGGAATCATTGATCGGCTGCCTCCTGCACGCCCCCTACTGGGGATTGAGCCCACAACCCAGGCATGTGCCCTTGGCTGGAGTCGAACCTGGGACCCTTCAGTCCATAGGCCGACGATCTATCCGCTGAGCCAAACCAGCTAGGGCTAAAGGGATATTTATTCAATGGAAAAAATATCCTTCGGTGAGGAACTATAAATAGCCACCCCAGCAGTAAAAGGAGAGGGAAAAATCACCTCCTTCATTCCAGATGGCATCCTTCTATTAATGCAGGCTGGGATCAATCACTGCTTCACACTGAAGAGTCACATCAGATCTGCAGGGGGATGTTTTTTCCCATCCAATGCTGCTTGGCTTTGTCTCCCTCCTCCCTTCCATGTCAGGGATGCAGACATTAGATAGTTTTCCCTCTCCACATCTGTCCCAAGCACAGTGAGGCTTTCAGGGGCGTGGAGATGAGCAAGACGAGGCCTGGGACCCCCTCCACCTTTGTTGATTGGTCATGCCTTGCCTTCCAGAGTCAAAATGATTCAAGGGAGACAGCTGAGACCGGAAGCAAGTTTTTCTCCTAGCATGGATGGCCCAAACCAGGGCTAGATTAATACTTTGGGGGCCAAAACAAGCCCAATTGTCTCTTCACACAGTTGGAGTGTTTCCACTGGGTGGACAAATAGGCATGTGATTTACTAGAAAGCAGAAATGTTGCCTATAATGTGTGTGTACATGTAAGTATCAATAGCACAACCGGCCCACTGCCGAAGAGCAGCCCTGCAATGCACTCAGGCCACAGGGCTGCCAGACACTGTGAGGTTTCCAGAACCTTGGCTCTCAAATCAGAGAACGTTTGCATGTGACCCTCAAATTCTGGTACAATCTGACCATTTCACAGACGAGAATACTGAGGTGAACCGCGTCCAGCACGGCCAGGGGTGAACCTGAGGAGGGGCGGTGAAGGATTAAAGACGACAGACAAGAGAATACAGTTGGGACCAGGTGGATCACTGCCTGGATGAGGAAACAGTGACCCAGCCTGTAAGCCCAAGCTTTATTTTGTAGTCAGGTCACACAAAGCAAAGCAAGGGGAGTGGTCCACATGTTCACAATGTTATTTCGAGTTTCAAATCTATTTTGCTCCTCAAGCCTTATTTTGGCAGCACTTGCTGCACCTCCCACAGCCCATTAGCTACCTAGGAAGGAACTAGGGAGGACTACAAGATCAAGCTTCATTATTCCAGGAGGGCTCTGCCCTCCAAGCTGGGACTTGTTTGTGGCCCTGCCACAGGTCAGTCCGAGGCTTG